GCTCTATAACTGTGAATAAGAAGAGACTCACTTTGTGAAATTGTGTTTGCAAGGTTCATGAATAGATATTTAAGTAAACAAATAACCCCATAGAACTTTAAAGTGTTGCATTAGCAAACTCTCTGTAAACTTGGCACAGGTTAAGAAGAATGTTCAGCCGTTTCCCCTTGTTTCCAGGTCCAACGCTTTTCCACATGTGAAGAGTGATGAGTCCGAAGAGAACAGCTGCTGCTCACTGCATGAAGTGGGATGCTGATTTTCAGGCTTCTGACTCATGTGAAGAGCCCCTACAGGTAGCAGCAGCTTTCCTTTTCAGACTTGTTGCTCTCCATGTACAGCAGAGTGGCAACGCTGGGAAGATTGGCACACTCTCCTTTATCTGTGGCAAATGCATATATTTTGCCAAAGATTCAACAGTGCTCTATGCAAACCCTTTGCCCATGTCACTCTTTGATGCACCCTGCATATATTTAAACAAGCAAACAAGGCAGAATGTATTTTAGCTAACTATACTTTCCACTTTTGTATGCCTAGAACGCAATGGACAGCTCTTTTGCAACAGGTCAGACTATTAAATTATGGTTTGAGACTGATTTATTGTCCTGGTCTGTTGTAAAGAGGGACATGCTGGCTCTGCGGCTTAAACCGCAGAAGCCTTTGTGCTGCAAGGTCAGAAGACCAGCAGTCGGAAGATCAAATCCACGTGACGGAGTGAGCGCCCATCGCTAGTCCCAGCTCCTGCCAACCTAGAAGTTCGAAAGCATGTAAATGTGAGTAGATAAATAGATACCTCGGTGGGAAGACAAAGGCATTCCGTGTCTAGTCGCGCTGGGCACATGACCAGTGAAACTGTCTTTGGACAAATGCTAGCTCTATGGCTTGGAAATGGGGATGAGTACCGCACCCTAGAGTTGGACACGACTGGACTAAATGTCGAGGGGAACCTTTACCTTTACCTTGTTGTAAAGCTCAATAGTGTAACTATTGTTTCTGGTTGGATGAAAGAAGAAATTATAATTAATTGGTGCTAGTTTGTTTGGAAGGACAGATCCTGAAGCTGAGGCTCCAATACTTTGGCCATCTCATGAGAAAAGAAGACTTCCTGGAAAAGACCCTGAAGTTGGGAAAGTGTGAGGGAAAGAGAAGGGAACGACAGAGAACGAGATGGTTGGACAGTGTCATTGAAGCTACCAACATGAATTTGACCCAACTCTGGGAGGCAGTGGAAGATAGGAGGGCCTGGCATGCTCTGGTCCATGGGGTCACAAAGAGTCGGACATGACTAAATGACTAAACAACAACAACCGTTTGTTTGGAGGTTTGTGCAAAAAAGTTCTGTGCTTGTTCATATTTTGGGCTTCTCGGTTGTCTCAGAAACGATTCTGCATGAATCTAGTTCTGCTCTGTCTTCTCAGGCTTTTCCTTTTGGGATAACTGTGCTTTTCAATTCAAGCATATCTGTGTTGTAAGCTTCCTTCTGATGTCAGTCTGCTAAAAGCCAAAACACACACGCAAAGGTTTTTCATGCAGAAATCTGTAAGTGTCTAGTCTGCATTTGATGCACTTTCCTTTGGCTCACCTTGAGGCAACCTGAGTCAAACCACACATTAGAGGAAATGTGTGTTTCCCCCTATTACAAAGATTTCATTCAAGACACACAGTTGCTTCAAAGCTTTATGCCTTAGACCTGCAAATAAAGCTTGTTTTTACTTCCTGAAGACTGATGATAAAATAAAATCTAGCTCAGTGGTCATGGAACAGGGATAAATTACCCCAAAAGGGGTAAAAATGAAAATCCTGGGGGTAATGAGTATGGTCGCGGCATGCATTTTACCCCCAGGCATTTTATTTCCGACGATGCTGTGTGTAGGTGGGCATTCCGTCGTGGGGAGAGCGAGCCCTGGTGAGGAACTGCACAGGGCACCCGCATTCCCTCCTCACCTCCAAAGTTGGGGGGAGGGTGGCGTACCAGGCCAGCTAGACTCTGCCCAATGGAGCCGTGGCCAGGGCTCTCCTTACTGCCCATGCCCACCCACCCAGTGCACTGGTGAGGAGGCCCCCTTCCCACACCACCTCACCTGAGCTCATGGCCAGTGGACCTGCCGGACCTGCGGCACCCACCTCCCCTCACCAAGGCCAAGCAGTGTGGTTGCTCCAGACTGACTGCCCAGGTGGTGGTTGCAGGTCCCCGGCAAGCGCAGAGGCGGAGGGGGGGGGTCAGCCGTGGACAGCGAGAGACAAGGGGGGGGGGGAATGTCGACATATATAAATTTTTTGGGGGAAAAAAGGTAAAAAAGTTCCCTGACCCCTGATCTAGCTGATTTGTAACATGCAGAATGATGCAAGCTGATGCTTGAACAAGTAGACATCTTTTACTTCTTAAGGAAGCTGCCCTTCCAGTTATGTGCCAAGAGTACCCCTCTAGTTTGGGCCAAGCACAGTGCATAAACAGGCTGATGGAATACTCAATTTACAGTATATAGCTCCCTGTAGCTAGTTCATCTTAATCTGATCTGTTGCAAGAACATGCCTCTCAAAGGATCTTCTGACTTATATTGAGGGTGCCTGAGAAATGTGTTCCATGCCACTCAAACAGCTCTCACCTTTAGAGATCTTTCTTGTTTCTTTCTTCCTTCCCCCCCCCCAATTTTTATTTTTCGTGAATATAGTTGTTATTCTGCTTTATGTACCACCATGTTGCTTTCAACATAACAGCAATTTTGTTGTTGTTGTTCTGATTCAACACACCTTTGAACATTTTATGTTCAGACCCCAGCTTGATTCTGACGTGTATTTCCAAGACAACAGAAAATATATAAAATGTAAGATAAACTGAAAAGTTTCCTTTGCTTACTCATACATCACAGTGACACCTGGTGTTTTAATTATAAAACACCATTTGAAGTGTAAATACAACTAGGGTGACCCCAGAATAACTACTGTGGGGGAGCAAAGGAATGGGAAGAATAATTAGGAGAACAAGAATTAAATTTCTGGTTGTATTGAACTTTGATATACTGTGACTATGAGCTAGGGTAATGGGATTATGGAAAATAATCACCCCTTCGAGTCTCCTCTATAATCACGTATATCCTTCATTATTTCCAAGTAAGCTGTGAACTGTATTGGGCTATAAAGATGGAAGCAACGTCTCTCCAATAGTGCAACTACTGGAAGTAAAGCCTCTTCAATAGTGTGATTAATTACTTTCTACATTAAGCAGAACGGATAATGCTCAGCAACACATAATAGGATAAGCCTCATAAGAGAAGGGGTGGGTTGAATGATGTTCCCTCTGAAGAACTATTTTTAATGGTTCGCCCGTATTGTGATGCCAAGATTCCATCGAAAATGATATTCTGACTGTTTATGCCACGTGCTGTCCTGCTTTATCATAGCTATTCTTCCAGCCAAAAGATCTGTGGGTGGTCATAATAAGTTTGTCTCGGAGACCAGTACATACACTTTCAATCAAAACCTTGTCAGATGATCTTCAGGAATCTGCCACAAAGGAAGGAGGGGGAAAGTCTCCTACCTTTCCCAGATGAAATTCTTTCTAGTTATGAGATACATCTGTTCTCTTAAGGCTTCAGAAGAAAAAGTTCAGCTTAACATGGGTCTGCAATAACACTGCATCATCCTTCTTCTGGGTGGCCTAGGAAGCTCTGTTTGTGTTTGTTTATCTGTGTCTTGATTTCTGTCAAACTACATATGGAATCACCAATACATAACTCGGTTCTCTCACCAGCTGGTTATTTAAAGCCATCCATCCCAGAAAGAATGCATAAGGCTGGAATTACCGACTCTTAACATAGCTACTGACAAAGAAATTAAGCAGATACTTTAAAGAAATATCTCCCACACAGTACCATGAGGTATAATATAAATTACAATTTCGTTTCTGTGTGAAGTGTTATTCATCAGAAGCAACCATGGATTTTAATACAGCGGTGTACAATATAATACCAGTGAGTAGTTTAGGCTATAACGGACATATTCTATTTTTTTTAAAAGAACAACAAGAACAGCCTGATGCTGGAGAAGGTGACCTTTCTAAGGGAATCCATTCACTGTGAGACAATCTTTCAACCTTTGTTTTCTGCACAAGATTTTGGAATTTTGACCTTTGGACCACAGAGGTAAGTGAATGAGGGCAATGATTCTAATCCTTTCCCCAAAAAATAATGCCTTGCAAGTTATTCTCTTAAAAATCTTGAGTCAAGATACTGAAGTTGGAGCCATAAATGAGTGAAGCTATCTCTCACCAACAAAAGGGTGGGAAAAGGGGTAGAGAGAAACAGGCTCACTTTAATGCTGAGTGAGCCTGTGAGGTATAACAGTTTTAAACACATGTAGAGTGTTTCTTGATACTAAATTTAAGTGACTTTTAGGGCACACATTATTTAGCAAATATAAGTACCAGTACAGAATTTTGTTTTTAAATGTAGCACAAAGAGACTATAAGCATAATCAGGTGTTTGTCTCTCTGTGTGTGTGTGTGTGTGTGTGTGAGAGAGAGAGAGAGAGAGAGAGAGAGGAGATTACTACACGAAAAAACATGCATACTGCTTATTTGGAGGGAAAGTATGAAATGTGATTAAACGAACACATGTGAATCCTAGTGCTAGTTAAAACCGTAAATGATAACATTCAAAACATTTTCTATAAGTTTAAATGAAACCTTACTATAAACAGAAGTGCACAAGATAAATGTAGAATATTTTAATGTAGCTCTTCTAATATATTAAGCAATTCATTAGAAAATAGAAAATGCTTTTCTGAGTTCTAATGATGTCAAAAGGACAAAAAATACCAAATAATAACAACATTTCAACACCACATGTGCAAATAGAGAGACAGAGAAATGGAAAGGCATACTGAAGTGTTCAAAGCACTACTGGAATATGATAGACTATCCTGTACAATATCCCTATACTACAAGTTTTTGTTTGACAAGATGGTATCATCTCAGTAGTTCAGAAACTTTGTTTGGTACTTACAGTCTTTAAATGCAAGTGCAGGATCTCGGTGAGGTAGGACTTGGGAAATTATATGTTGTAGAGATTCCAAAGTTCTGTCCATCTTGGTCTGCTTTTTTCCAGACTGCGTGCACCAAGCGCCCACATGCCTGAATTCTTCCAGTACGGTCCGGAATTTATGCAGTTCATTGATGGACTGGATTACCAGAGAATGTCTTTCAACATCTGCCAATCAGACATTGCCCAGATTCAAAAGACCCTTCAGGGGGTCTCCCTCCCTGGCGCACTTATCTTTGTTGTAGGCTGAGCTAATTAGCTGGGGAGGCAGGCTGACAGACTCTTTCCTACCCCTTTTTCTTCTGTTCAACACACCCACCTACTGGCTAGCTGGAGAAGGTAATCATGTGAAAGACCGTCCTCTTTTCATCCTGACATTGAGTGAAGCTGCTGAACCAAAGTTTTTGCTAATTGAAGAATTTATCTCCACTATTAAAAAAATACTAGGAAAAACCTGAAGCTTAGTATAAGATGCTGCTCATCAGAGGAGCTTAAAAACTGTAGATAGATTTTGTCGGAACAAACCACAGAACATTCACTTCCTTTTTAAAAACATGTGTTTTGACATGTGTCAATATAAATAATGTTCTCTCTCTTGCTGATGTTGGTTGCTTTTTTGTGGGGTTGATTTGCCTAAAAAGCAAATGGAAATGTACAGCACAATTCTGTGCATTTCTATTGAGAAATCTGAATGAATTCAATGTGTTTCCCTCTCAGGTAATAGAATATAGAATTGCAGTCTTTGTGGAGTTTGCCTGGAAAGGCGATTTCTTTCAATTTCATGCCATGTTAAAAGTCATCATAAAACCACCCACAGCATTACAATATTGTGAAGCTGAAATAGCTATGGGTAGATAAAATCTGAAACGTTGCAGCTGGCCATCTGAATTAAATTTCACCATCTTGTAGGGTTTTTGTGCATGTGTGTGTAAACTATATATTGTTAATTTCATTCAAGGGTGGAAATCAAAGCCAAACGTTAACTCACTGTTAAGTCCCATTGAACTTACAGTATTGGGACTTCTGTGCAAACATGTATATGACACATGCATAGCATGCCAGAGGTGTATCTAGAAGCAGTTGGACTACAACTGCCATCTGCTCTAGCTGGCATCGTCAATAGTTGGGGATGATGCCATCTGACATCTTCCGGAGAACGAGGTTGCTTTCCTCTTTTCTGTAGGACCAGGCTATACATAGGTAATTTGTGGAGTATAGACAGACAGATTTGTCAGATCTGTGTATATTGCCTACTCAGTAATTTTAATTGATTCCTAATTTGAAAATTGGTTTAAATAACTATCCATATAGTTTTATACTAGAAAAACCAGGTCACAGACACAAGAGCCAAAATCCAGTTGGTTTACACAACCATGTAAGTGAAGTGCACTATTTTCTGGTCGATCTTTTGCAAGTTCCCAACTGTGTAACAGTCACCCAGGAAACAGCAAAAACTGCTTGAACAATTACCTTTCTGCACAGATTCTGCTATTGGATCAAGGCCAGGGCTTATATAATTCTTATAGGCATACTTGGTGGGAAATGGAAAATTTTGTGAGGAGAGTTGGAGAAAACTATAGTCATGCTTGAATTTGTGGAAAATGTTACACAAAAGAAAAATCTGTTTGGTTTGGTCTTGTGATGACCAAGAATACAGATTCAGTGTTTTAACATCCCAAGGAAACAAGTTGAAGTGTATATTACATGAGCCAATTGTGGAGTTTTATTTTTAGGTTTCATTAGTAAGCTTGTTCCTTACCTGGAAGATGCACGTTTGTTGACTGTTCCCACAAGCCTAACCACAGCCATTACCGTTTCATTACATTTTGAATCCAGCTGCATCACCCCACAGTTGGCAAGAAATGAGTGTGTGTGACAGAACGTGATGACAAAGTCCCTCTGCAGAAAGACCATTAAACCAACATTTAAATCAATGTGATAATGGTGGTTTTTATAGCCCTTGGAAGTAGAAAGGTTGGCCACCTTTACTGTAGTTCTACATGTCTACTGATGTATGCACAGAGCTCTCCTTTCTGAGAGAAGATCCTGATTATATGAGGATCCTTTGTCTTGTCATAGAGGTCTATGCATAGATATCAGGATGTGTGTAAAGTCTTCTTATATGAAGGGCAAACCTGTGGATGCCCAGGGAATGTGGCTATGTATCTGTATATACACAGAGAATTATTATTTATCTCTTTTACTTTATACAAGTTGCAAATATTAATGAGGCTAGCAGAAAATAAATCTCAGATGATATTTATAATTTCTATAAAATATATTCATTTCATTAATTAAAAAAGATCACAAGAGAATCTTCTGAAACCTCTTAGATATGTGATATATTTCTTAAGACTGCAAAAATGTTGACTAAACCTGCATGTTTTCTGAAGTTCCCAGTAAATAAAGCAAAATTTTGTTTAATAATCCACATATGAAACATAAATGGAGCACTGAAGAGTTCATCCCTTGTGTAAACTTTCTGGTGACCTCTGATGACTTCAGATATTTTAGGAATTCTGCTGCTGTTTTTGTTAAGAGATATATCTTGCTATAATGTTGAGACCAAATCCCTTCCTCATCCATTTCCATATACGCTGTGCAATCTAAATAAATCTGAAAATGAAGGAGTAATGATTTCTTAGATCCATACCTTTAAATGATTATCTAAAAGCATTGCTTTGACAAAGTCATTCCAAAGCAATCTTGTGTGCTTCCTCAGAACTCCCATTGCTGTAGGTTCAGTGGGGTTTATTCCGAAACAAGAACTACAGCTTAAATCCCTTACTTAAACTGTACCCTAACTGAAACAAATACATGAGACTACATTTAACATTAACCCTTAGCTCTCTACCTGCTGTTTCTCTTTGCATAGCATATTTCCCACCTGAACATATATGGCTCTGCAGGAGATCACCACAGATTGCCACTGAAATTTCTTCTCCCTGACTCTCTTCTGGAGGTGCTATGACATGCTCAGACAATTGTAATAACTACTGAATATGAGGATTAAGTTCTTACATTCCACATTTGCATCCAATGGTCCGCTCCTTTGCAGCCTCCTGGCGTATGGCATCTTTGAGATTGTTGTGGGAGTCAAGGTAACAATACATGAGGTGTGAGTTGAGGGAGATGGACACACTTGTGATAAGCTGAGTGGCAGTGTACTGGCTTGAGAGGTGGCGGGGCTGGGAAAAGCAGAATTAGGGGTTCAAAATTTTGCTAATTTTTCTGACTGCTCGTCTGTTTAATGTTGATACAAGATAGCGGAAGTCAACCCACTCTATAGAAATGTCATCCTTGTTTCCAAAGTACTTATCTCCAACATTCTTATATGGTACTTGGCACTCCTAAACCTTCTGATCTCAGTAATTCAAATTGTCGAATCTCAGAAAGTAACTTCCTGAATCATACTCTCATAGAAACTGAGTCTCAAGCCTCATCACAATCATCGAGTGATGGTGACTCAGGACTCTGGTTCTCTTCATTTGTCTTAATGTTATACACTATCTAGCACCACGCTTTTCACAGCCAAAAGGCAGAACATGAATCCAAAAAAATGAGCTATACTGTTAATATTTTATATACTCTCTGGCTTCATAAGTCAGTAAGCAGAAAGCAGGCACTTGAGTCCATTTAAAATTTCAGTTGCTACTGTAGAAAAAAATAAACATGCATCATAAATTAACTGTACACTATTATAAATCAAACCTCACAATAGTGGTTCCTTAGATATGCAAGGTATTGTGTACAGCAGAATGTCACATAAAGAAAATTATCGTCACCAGTTGTGCTTACACTTCTAAACTACAGTATTCTTTCTACATAAATGGGTTGTTCTTTTCTTAAAGGCCCTTGGCCTTCTATACTAAATTACATCCAGCAGAGGAACTGTTTTCTTCATTTTGTGTTAGACAGGCAGCGTTGGCCAGTCTAAAACCATACCGTTTGACCTAAGTGGCCCCAGTTACAGAGTTTTTGAGATCTTCCATAACAGGCTACCTAGTAAGTGGTCAAATGTATATGAGCAAAATTTATTAGCAGTTGCGCTGACCTGCTCAGAGATGGAGTAGCCACCAGCCTGCCCAAGATCATTTTTATTACTTTGTCAGTTTGGACAGGATTTATGCATGAGACCTTGGGGGTGTGGATAAAAAGGCAAATGAGAATTTCTGGGTTCAAAGCTCTGTTAGTCATGCAAGCTCTGCCAGGCTTTCGTTCAAGCCCAGAAATTAAAATATTGCTGAAGGTGTTACTTAAGCATTTCAAGGACTTTAAGGCAGTTTAGACAGAGTGAAGTTAACAGGGCTAAATAGTAATTAATATAGTTGAGTAATGGGTCTGAAAATGCTGCTCAGGTCTGCTGATATGCACCACCCTTACAGCTTTGCAGTCTGAGCCCCTGCATGATCACCCTTACTTTTTATTCCCCTTTAAAAAAAAGTTTAAAAAGTTCAGTATAATGTACTGCCTGAAAATTGTGTGCAGGGGGTGCAGTCTTATGAGGACTCATCTTCCAGAACAACCCAATGAGCACTTTATGGGGGCCAATCTATATTAAATATTATGAGATGTATGCCATATAAGATTGCCCTGGATTTAAGCATAGTTTGGAAAAATTACTTCCGAGTTGTTGTAAAAGTAACTTTTCCAAACTCGGGAAAATAAGTGAAATACTGTTACACTAATTCTTCATACAAGTAGCCAGATGTTATAGGTTATTGACCTCAGTGACTTTCTCCAGTGATTGCTGCTAGAGACTTCTGGTTTAGTTTTGTGTTTCTCACACAGCAGCATGGCCAATTATATTCTGAAGTCCAGGCCACACCACTTCTTTATAATCCAGGAAAAGAAAAGAACGTTTCTTTCTCTGGAAAGCTACAAGGTTCCAGTCACAGAAAGCAACGGCTGTAGCTGATCGGCCCCAGGGGATGGAGAAGTGTGGCCAAACAGCAGGAGAGACAAAACCATCACCAAGACATCACCCTTTTACTGCCTCCTTAAGATGGACACACAGAAAAACCTTCGGAACAGGAACTACGGGTATGTTATTGGATGGAAATCCAGAACTTGCACGGTCAGTGATGAAACGAATATGGGTGACACCATTCAAAGTTTAAAAAAATGAAAATCCACACCGGGTATGCCCAAGACATGGTACAGCTGGCAGAAATAAGCTTTTGGAGCCCACCGAGTCTGCTCTCCATTTAATATATTCAATTTAAATCTGATCTTAGCCGTACAAATGTAAAGAACAGAATCTGACATTTCAGTTAAGCAGAAAGCCACATCTTTCTTTGCTTTAGGAGGAAAACAAATCTGTGAGAACTCAGCCCCAGAAGTTGGCAGCCTCCAAACTGGACTTGATATTATGCATGTGTTCTCGCCGCTGTTTAGTATAAACACTAGCTTCTCCTTTTTGCAGCCGTCGTCTGAGAGCAGCTTTTTGCTGTTTAGTTAGCTGACGCTTTATCTTCTGTTTCACCAGTTCCTAGAAGACATTTGCAAAACCCAGACATTAATTTCGTTTGCAAGTCACGTTACACATTAAGCACAGAGATACCCAAAATGTGCTCTGTATGGCAATAAAGTTGCAGAAATGTAGCGATTTGCAATATCTCATAGAGGAAACATGCAAAAGCAAGATGCAGAAAAACTGTTCAAGAATATTTTAGTAACTTGAGTTTAGACATTCCCTCTTATTACTTATTCTGGTAAGGAGCGCCTAACAAAATGAACAAATTCTGCTCATGAGTTGTGCTCTGCAGTTTTTTTGTTTTTGTTTTAACTAAAAACAAGAGAAGCATATACACAAACAGAATATAACAATTTAAGGATGATTTATTTGAAAGTGCCTATTGGACTATGGTTCCTGGTTGACTAGTGACATAGCTCAGCTGTAAGGGACAGTCTCGCACACAGCGTGGTGTGGATAAGAGACTGTTGGACTTTGGATACATCCAATCTAAGCTAAGCTAAGCAAGGTCAGATCTGGTTAGTACTTGGATGAAAGACCACCATGGAATATTAGAGGCCTCCAGATAGGGAAAGGAAAGTGTAATACCTGAACTCTTGGGAGAGCAGCTGCCAGTCAGTGTTGACAGACCTGGGCTAAACAAATTCAATTGTCTGCATCGCTATTTTACAGCTTCCTATTCTGACATGGGTTCAAATCCCCTGTCAATCTGAAGCTTGCTGATGGACCTTAGACAGCCACCATCTACATTGGCATGAACTCACTGGAAGAAGCATGGGATATCAAATCAATAATCAATTAACTTGAATCTTCCATTTGGATAAAGAATAAGCTTATGAAAAATGCAGTGCAAATTCACCCATATTTAGAATGGTTAACTAGTGAAGTTAAGAGGCAGTTGACCTTTGCAGAAGAGGGTTGTCAACATCTTTAAAAAATAATTTTGATTTATGGCCTGTCCTTTATTTCAGGCTCTGGGTAAAGCAGAGCTTTTCATTCACTGAAAGGATGAGTAAAAGCGTGAATTCCATGGCCAGAAGCAGCGTGCACAGGAGTGCAGGGTCTCCTTCAATACTGGACCCTCTGCTTTTTTATTATTACACCTTAACTTTTCAAACCAGAGGATAGAACTTTATTTGGAAGATGCCTCTAACTGGCTTTGTGTTGTTTTTTAAAAAAACAATGCTATTTACGTAGCAAATTTCTGAAGGGCTCCAGGTGCACCAGATCTTCAGCAATTTTTAAATTTTGACTTGCTGCTTAAAAAACAGACAGACAGAGACCTCCCACGTCAATGTTTTATTCTGCTCATTTTTCAACAAAGTTGAGAGCAACTGCTCTTGCTGCCAACGTGCCTCCTGTTTCAAGACTTTACAGAAGGAGTTTGATTCCTTCTGTTTGGCCACTTCAGCAGCAGCAGCTTGCTAGGATTTCAAAGAATTCAGAAGACAAAGAACGCATTGTTTTGAATCCATTCCATTTGTCAGCAGATCCCTAGGCTCCTGGAATGGAATTTGTTGGCTCTTCCAATTGTACTCTTAGTCCTTGTATAGCATTCCTGTTGGTAATCAAAGAAGAGAGCCGACTCCTTTGTCAGCCACATTGCTCCTCATAACGTTCTGGGAGCTGGTGGGGTAGGAGAATTGTATGTTGGCTACCCACTAAAACAAAGATGGAACTGGATCCACTGACACCCATGCTAGTCGAGATGAATGTGATGTTTCAGTTTCTGCTCATGTTCTCTAATTACGCTAGCACAGATGAAAAGGGTAAAAGAAATCCTCATCACAACTCTGACCATTTTCTCTTTTCTAGGCACGGCGTCTATTAAAATGTGCAAACTGCACACATGTACTAGAAATAACAACTAGTAAGGGAAATGTAACTCCTGTGTCGAAAAAGAAAATGGAAGGGGAGTCCACAAATCCATGCTTTCTTTAACCCTTGCACTCTTCCCACCAACTGTCTTTGAATGCCCCATAAAGTATACAACCACTTGGAGGCACTCTTGTATAAGTGAAACAGTCACAGTTCATTAAAGGAGTGCAGAAAGCTGAAACAAAGCATCTGCAGGGATACTTGATGAGCCCTTTGCTCACTGTGAAAAGGTGTGTATTCCTTGGTTGTACAGAGCATCTAAAATAAGCTGGGTAAGTTGGGGACTTTTATCAAAATTCGGGAGTCTATGGTACCTATTGACATATTGGCATCTTGACATTATGCAATAAGAGCACTGGAATAAGATAAAATTAATGAATATTTTAAAAACAATGTTATCTTTAACAATGGAAACCCCAATGACCTTCAGATGAAATAGAATTGTCTATTATCCTAAACTCAAAGGTTCAATTATCTCAGTGGATATAACTGAACTGGATTCAATTAGAAGATAAATCATTTTTGTAAGCTTTAGAATAATTACAATTTAGATTTTTAGAAGACTTCCAGTCATAAAAGCTTAAGAAATACAATACTGTATATTGCAACACACACAATGGGACTGAAGGATCTTGCATCAGCTGAACAGAACAGTACCATAAATAAATACTGCCCCCCCAAAAGCCTTACAAGACCCATTAAGGCAACAATGCATCAACTGCTTAGAAGTTGTATTGTAAAAGCCCAACTGAAACTGGGAACAGGTAGGCAGGAATTTTGGGTCAAGGACGTTACATAAGACTTACTGGAGGAATTGTTGAAAGGTTTCCCGTGCTGCCCACTGAAGTCACACTGGTAGTTCTTGTCCTGTAGTCACTGATGGGAAACTGTGTCCCTTCATCTCTGCAATACAGAAATTATATTTTTAATTAGCTACTTTTTGATGCAAGCTTTACCAATCTGCATAGAGAAACTGTGATGGAGAAGAGTGGCATTCTTCTCTTGGCTTGGACCATGAACCCGGGTGGATAAAAATCAATGACTGGGTGGATAAAAATCAAGTTGACTTCAATCATGATTTAAAATTTTAAAAAAAGGTTTTATTTAAATCATTCAAAAATCCATTTTTAAAATTTAGATCCAATCTACCCTGCCATGAGCTGCTCTTGTCAATCAGTCTTTCCAATATAATTCAGCTGTAATTCAGATGGAAATGTTAACTCTTTCATCAACACAAAAGGTGGATAATGTGTAGAAGCCACCAGGAAATTCAGCCCCGCAAAGCCTGCTGAAATGAATGAGCTGCTTAATAGCCTTCCTTGAGTTCTCAAGAACATTTAGCTTATTGGCTATGAATATTATCGGCCTGAAGGTGCTTTTGCATTTTTGGACTGTTATGCCATTTTAATTGGCAAGAAGACTGACAGATGCAGACTGCTTCACTATACAGCCACTTGGATGCTTATGATCTGCCCTTGTGCAACCACCTCCACTGCAAGTAGAATTAGGCGGTGGCAGCCTCCATTTTCAATCTCAGTTTTCTATAGGTAGAAGAAAGGAAATGATAAACTAAGTTAGATGCAGGCTGGGCATGGCAGTGAATTAAGATGTGCTGTTAGTTTGCAAGTTTATTTAAACACAATACAGTGAAAGCCTTTAAAGTATCTGAAAGCAGCAATAAGGTAGAATTACTGTCCTTGACGTAAAAATATAACTAGTGTTCAATCCATTAGAAGAATGAATGAAACAGGGGTAAATGGATGCTATTATAAAACAACAAAGCAGTATTAATGCAAAGTGGCTACATGCAGCACAACTGTATCATTTCTCTAAGAGGGACAAACCATGAGACCTGCAAACCTATGGCAGTAGTGTAAACGTTTTTATACCCTTAGCCAGTCAGTCAGAATGTCAGCCTGTAAGACCAAGTGCACTGCATATGCTGAGCTTTGAAACAAGCACTATTGTTTGAGTCTTACACAAGCATATTTCTTTTCAAAAATCCTAATGCTTCAGAGAAGCTCATCTTTTTGAAGGAGACAACAAAGAAACAAGATATGGTAATTCTCTGAACAATCAATATAAATCTATACCTGAAAGGCCTGAATTCTTTATTCAATGTGGACAAGTCTACCAGATCAGGACATTCATCTTCATATGCTCTGTCAGCAGGATCGTCTTCTTGACCTGCTTGATCTTCAATTTTTGTGGATTTTTCAATTTTCTTTTTATCCACAGAAAAATCAATTACAGAGCTGTCTGCATTAGCCCCATCTCTAGCAGCAGTAATTTGCCCTTCATCTTCTTGTAAGGCACAGCTGAACTCCCGCAGATCTAAACTTTGTTCACTTTCATCGGCACTGCCCTCTTCACTGGGGTGCCCCAAATCTTCAGAGGCTTCCTCTACCTCATCGGTGACATCTCCGACAGTTGCTTGATCCGTGCCACTGCACACGCATATTCCTCTTTCAGGGTTTTGTGCACCAGCAATTTTATGACTCTCATCATCAGGGCAAGCTGGGTGAAGAAGTTCATCATCTTCTTGCATTTCTTTGGTGTAGCCACTGGCTGCAATTTCCACATCAAGAGAACACTCTCTCCTAGTAGAGCAGAAAAATAGGCAGTCAGGCATGAATTATTTCTCCACTGACCATGAGTACACCTTCAGAAGAAAGCAGCTTTTCTGAAGTAATGCTGGATCTGTGACATTTACACTTGTACACTAAGTATGCCCCTATTACTTGGATATATTTTGTCAAACACTGTGCTTCCTAAAAGAAGTGGAGTGAAAAAAAGAAAAGAAAAAGAGATGATCTTGAATCCTGAGACTGATTTCAGAACCTCCTTTAAAAGAATGTGTGTTTCTAAATAAAGTCAGTTTTAAAAGAAATGGGGATGGATAATGACTGTAAGAAGGAACAGTGACAGGTTTCCATTCAGACTTTTAAAAAAAGATCATGACAGCTTTAATCAAGCACATGTTCTAGGAACACCTGGGAGTACATATGGACGCTGAGTACGTTTCATGGGAAGCACCGAGCATACTCTCTAGAGGCTACAGCACAATGTGGAAGTGGAAATTACTAGGATGTTACTCCTGGTTTGATGCCCTGGAAAATAATCAATGGGATTTGGGATAAAATAAGAGGGTGTGAATGTATGTGCACACAATTTGATATTTCAAAGGACATCATGTCCCAATTCTCTTTTGAGGGACTGCAAAAAATGAAATAAAATAAAAATTATAATTAAAGAAATCACAGGAACTGCATGATTCGCCATCCCTGAAGTACGGTAGGGCCCCCGCAACTGTGGGATCAGTATCCATTTATTCATTTATCTGCAGTCTGAAAATGCTACAGTAGCTAAAAACCCCTCAGAAATACATATTCCCAGAGTATATTCACCAGAACTGGCAACTAAAGGGGGCCAGAGCCAATGTATAGCATTTGATACTGCATTTTTCAGAATCCAGGGGCGGGGAGACTTGTACACCATGTATGTCAGAAGGGAGAATCTCACCTCCTTACCCTCATCAGATATTAGTCTACCAATAGACTGGCTATCTTTTCTTCATCAGAACTGTAGCGAGCAACAAACCTCTTGGAATACTTCCAGAACATCAAAGTTAACTGTACTGGCCAATGGTAATAACACACAACAAAGCAGCTTGTCTGTACCTTGTGTTAATTTTTTACCCTAAGTGGTCTAATATTTACACTTCCAGGAATCATAATAAATCAGGAATATTATTTATGACTCAACAGATAAAATAAATTCATACAAAAACATAGGTAGCCATGCTGGTTATAAGGCAGATTCCAAAATCCATATTGCAATAACATTTTTAACAGAATAGCCAAAAGGGTACAGTAATTTATCAATAAGTCATGTGGCACCTTAAAGAGGATGTACTTGTTCGAAGCCTTTGTGGATTTCGGAGGCCTCTGAAGAAAGGGGGCTCTTTCCATGAAAATTTATGCTACATGATTAATATTTAAGATGCCCCAAGGCTCTTTGAATTATATTGGTTTTTTATAACTTGAAAAAAACATATTGTAGCAGTTTCAGAAAGGAGAGCCAGGCAGTATCAGCTCTACCCCCGAAGGCCTGCCTGGCAAACTCTCTCAGCACTCAAGAGGGGTAAATGCTTCTTAGGGATAATATGGCTATATTGGCAAGATAAGGGAAGAATGTGAAGCAGTCCCTAGTTTTGAAATATACCACACAGTTTACCTAATATCCTTGAAAGTTGGATAGAGCTCACTTTCAAAGTTGAAACGTTTCATGAAGAAATCGCGAATACATTTCACATCTCTGTCAAAATACCTAAATGACAGTAACAAAAATTACACAGATTAACTGATCTTCAAATTATCAAGCTGTAACAGTCCTACTTAGTACTGATCACTCATCACACAGATATAGATTCTGATGTATACGGTATTTGAATTATTTACTGCAATTAACAATATACTTGTTACTACAAGCATCAAATAGCTAGACCTTGGCAAGACACCAAAGTTGTTCACATACCATTCAGCATTTGGATGAGAGGTTGACACCATTTGTGGGAAATCAATCATTGTGACCCGATCCTCATTATCCAACATGAGATTGAACTCATTAAAATCACCATGGATCAAGCCATGGTTAGCAAGTTTGACAATTAATTCCATCAATTCATTATATAGAGAGGCAGGGTCTTCAAGATGATGAACTTGACATCTAGAAGGCAAAAAACCAAGCAAAACAGAAAACAAAACAGAATAAGCAATTTCAAAATTTATAAATTAAACTGATACAAAACTAAGTCAGGAGAAAACAGTGCTATGTCTATGTGATAACCCCTGAATATTGCATATGAAAGATCTGATTGTTAGCTCAGCAACAGATTTGTCAACAAGGTGTACCTACTGGCTGACTATCTGGAAACTGAGATATGCGATGCCTAGAGAGCTCCAACTTTAAAAGTTGAGACAGAAAGGGACAGGATACAGACTGAGTGTAAAGTATATTCAAAAAAAGAAACTAACAGGTAGAAACTGTTTTCAGAATAAAGGCTTTAGTTGAGCAATGTCTGGGGAGTTTATTTTCAAAAATAAAAGGGGGTATAATTGACAAAACTATTCAAAGAGCCTTGCGGCATCTTAAATATCCCCTTCACAGATTGCTGCCTTGTCGTGGTGAAGGGGCTTGAGTAATTCCGAGAAGCTATGGGCTATGCCGTGCAGGGACACCCAAGACGGACAGGTCACAGTGGAGAGTTCTGACTAAACATGATCCATCTGGAGCAGGAACTGGCAAGCCACTCCAGTATCTTTGCCAAGAAAACTCCATGGACAGAAACAAACGGCTAAAAGATATGACGCTGGAAGATGAGCCCCTCAGGTCGGAAGGTGTCCAACATGCTACTGAGGAACAGTGGAGGACACGTACAAGTAGCTTCAGAGCTAATGAAGTGGTTGGGCCAAAGCTGAAAGGACGCTCAGCTGCGGACGCGCTGGAAGTGAAAGGAAAGTCTGATGCTGCAAAGAAAAATACAGTGGTGCCTCGCTTAACGACGTGAGCTGGACCATAAAGAAGGCTCACCGCCGAAGAATTGATGCTTTTGAATTGTGATGATGGAGGAGACTCTTGAGAGTCCCCTGGACTGCAAGGAGAACAAACCTATCCATTTTGAAGGAAATCAACCCTGAGTGCTCACTGGAAGGACAGATTCTGAAGCTGAGGCTCTAATACTTTGGACATCTCATGAGAAGAGAAGACTCCCTGGAAAAGACTCTGATGTTGGGAAACAATGAAGGTAAGAGGAGAAGGGAATGAAAGAGGATGAGATGGTTGGACAGTGTCATCAAAGTTACCAACATGAATTTGACCAAGCTCCAGGGAGCAGTGGAAGACAGGAGGGCCTGGCGTGCTCTGGTCCATAGGGTCACAAAGAGTCGGACATGACTTAACAACTAAACATCAACATGCTCACGCTCCAAAATGGATGTGAAAAAATTTATACAACCCAAAAGCTGTTCACATCCATTTAAAGTCAGCTACCAAAAAGGCCATATTACCCAACACAAACATCAGAATTAGTCTGTCTGTTTAACCTAAAAATACTAAAGTTTCACAGATTAATATTTCTGCAGCTAGAAATTCTGTGTGTTTGTTTCTGAATTAGCAGAGAGGGCCCTTGCTAAACAGGTGTGCCTTATTAGATGGATCAGAATGTGAATTTCAAATGTCATTTCTAAACTTAAGTTATCCAGTAAACAGCACAAAATAGAACACACATTTCAATCTGAAAAACAATTAATATTTAGAAAGGAAGACAATGCCCCTAAGGAATATAACAACATAAAAATAAGACTTCTAGACTAATATAACTCTGGGTTATTTGTATGAAACTTAAAACAGAGATATTTTAAAATTAATAACACTTGGGGAAGACTTTTGGCTGGATATTATTTCTTAGGACAAGTAACAGCATAAGACACTGCCAAAAAGCCACAAACAAGAATGACCTGAGAGTAGAGATGGGCACGAACCACCAATCTGGTGGTTCGTGCCAGTCTGTCCTTCAGATGAACAGGGTTTCGCTGCTTCCCAGCCCTGGCTCCTCTTGGGGCTGTCCTGCTTCCCAGCCCTGGCTCCTCTTGGGGCCGTCTCTGAGTGGGCATCCACCGGAAGAGGCAGGGGTGGAAAGTGCCAAACACCTGAGAGCCAATGTGCTGTTCTTGGAAATGTGCTAGACTGGGACTAGCACTTCATCTCCATTTAGCCAGGAAAACTCCTTGGGTGACCTTAGGTCAGTCAGTCTGACCTGCTTTGCAGTTTTGTTGATATATGCACAAGGCATGAGAAAGGGAGCCATATATGCTACTTGAGCTCACTGAAGGAAACATGGGCTATAGATATGACAAATAAATAATAATACACTTGGAGGATGAGTAGGATTTAAAAAAAGGTAATAACCACCACCTTAGGAAAATCATAATTTGATCTGTGCCACAAAGACACTCATACTTACAGCGGATAGCCATTGACAAGTTCCATGACAACTGCATGTCTGTTGTAGTCGTAAGGTTTGGGAACAGGAAATCTTCGGTCATGCAAAGCCTGCCCTCCCAAAAAATCCCCAGAGTTGAAACATTAGTCCAGGCCTTTCTTACAGATACTGTATAGTTTAAAAACTGTTAGTAGGGATTAAGAAAATATTTATCTTGGCCTTATCAAACCTGGGGTACTGTAAGTTGTTCATAAAAAAGTAAATAGATCATAGTTAGAAAAACACAAAAAACCTAAAACCAAAGCAGCAAGCAAACACACACATACATACAATCATATATATAAGATGGAAAAAAATTGGGATTTAGGGAGCTGCCATCTAAAAGAGTATCTTTCCCCATTTATGCCAGTTAGTAATAAGCCAACCTATAGAGACATTCTGGGGAAAATCAATTCTCTCTGTGTTTGAAAAGGAAACTGCAAAAAGCTGCTGTAAACTTCTTTTAATCCAAACCCTGTTTTCCCAAAAATAAGACCTAACTTGAAAATAAACTCTAGTATGATTTTTCAGGATGCTCATAATATAAGGCCTTGATAAATACTGTAAGCCTTTGATAAATGAAACCTTGCCCTGCACCATTGTGCAGCAACCAAAAGATGACCTGATTATATCTGAATAAATGTAGATTGTTGTACATGAAAACCGTAAAACATCCCTTGAAAAAAAAAGCCCTAATGCATTTTAGCGTGAAAATTAATATAAGACTCTGTTTTATTTTCATGGAAACACGGTAGTTGTTCAGGAGCCAGGTATGAAGGAGACAAACAATACCTTCATATAGGCAAATTCTTTCATTGCAGCAAGGCGTGACAGGTAAAGCCATGACATCTTGTGCCTGTGTTTATGGTAATCGCGCTTGTTTTTTAAGTTCCGAAAGGAAGTCCGCCCAAGCCGATGCAATTTTAATGCCAACTGCTCTTCTTCTTCATTTGCGACAACATAAATATCTATAAAACACATGTTTCAGTCAGGTTGGGATTGTTAGAAAAATATATTTTTAGCACATTCAAATCATATTCTTTTACTAACTGCCTTACAAACAGATTTTAGAATGGGGCATTATATGATTAACATGACATTTACACCGAGTTCTGTTCAATTAAATGCTCAAATTAGTTGGACGCAGGTCACTGATAAATAGTACACCAAGAATTTACAAAGAATATATTTATGCTGTATAAGAAAACAAACACAGAATGACCAATTTTTCAAAATAATCATTGTATTTTATGATTTTTTTTAAAAAAACACACAAATAAATCACCAGTATGGAAAATACCTGATTCTTTCCCAACACCCATCTGGTTTCCAACAGAGCAGACAACTTGTCGAGAAGAAAGTGTTTTCAAGGCAAGGTAATCGTATCCTCCATTAGTTAATCGATACCCCTGGACAGCTGAAGAATTGAAATAAAAACACTAGCAAGTGGAATGTGTGTGCATTATCATGATGCAGAGTGCTCTTTTAAACCAGAGAATATTTTAACAAAGCCAATGATCTTCTTAAAAAAGGACACCTTCACTTCTCCCAACAGGCTGTAAGGACTACATAAGCTGCATATGTTCTGTCCACAGTATAGCATGCTTTTAAATCAAGCCTTTTGGGTTGGACTAGAAAAGGTGACACTCAGTGATTTACAGCAACTCAGTGATTTACAGCAACCTAACATGGCGTGTCTTGTGGTTTCCCTGGTGACACTCAGTGATTTACAGCAACTCAGACAACACCTAACATGGCTTGTCTTGTGGTTTCCCCCAGTTTTCAATGGCTGTATTCACAAAAAATGTACCCAAACAATGTCAATAATATAAAAATCATTCATACTTACTTTTAGTTCGCTCATAAGCTAAGAGCCTGTGCTTCGCCAATTCTCTTAAAGTTTTATTACAGCCCCCATGTTTGAGACTGGCAATGGATGCAATCAAGCTAGCAGGCACTATTTCATGATTTTTCATGCCCATTTCCACCTGAAACATTAAATTGAAACATAAGGAATTCTATTTTTTCCTCCTCTTTTCAAACATAGCTTTGCATATCATTGCTACTCTTCCTGAATGTATGTCCTTTCATTTCTAAATCCTGGTCAATGCTCTGGCAGACTAGTTTTATCCTAAACTGGAGTTCGGAATCAAAATAAATAATACAATAATTCTATGCTGTTCCTTGAAGCCTAAAATTTATTGTGCAGTTCGTTTTTGTTAAAACCAGTAAAACTTGCCACTTTTTTGTTTGAGTTAAACGCTGACTGCATTCCAGGAGTATGGTAAGCAGCCACTTGATTAAGGGCTACCTTTTCCATGCTGCTTACGCTCAGTGGAATAAGGCAAAAGTCCAGAAAGCTGCAGTAGGATACGGAGAGCCTGACCACTGTTTTTCTCAGTCACGTCAACCAATCCATATATGAGTGAATGTTGCAGGAACGTATTCCTACTGTGTCCCTATGGTGCAGTGGTAGATCATACCACTGCATCATAAGGTGCAGTGGTATGATCTACCACTCCACCATCTACCACAGACCAGCATGGAACAGATTACAGGAAACTCAACACTTGGATTCTAGCAAGCCAGTGACAGGTCCAAGAGCACAGACATTATATTGTACTTAGTAAGAAGCGACTAGCTCTTCCCTTCTCCACTTCTTCCTCTACACTGAGAGTGACACGTCTGAAGAGAATCACCTCAACATGCCGGCTCAACAAAGGAACAAGTCTTATGTGCTCTAGTCACTTCCATGTGCAGAAAGCAGCAAAGGAAAAGGAAGAGTAGTTGCTCTTCTTTAAAGATACTGATAACAACCTGATAGGTAACAAATGAATGGGGCTTGCAATGTTAAAAATGGTGCTTGCATCCCTCTGTTTCTTTTCCTTCTGCACTGTGTTTAAAACAAGAGCTGCCTTGCTTCTTTCTTTATCTATAAACTGGACCTGTAAGCGTTTTTGGCTAAAAACAGGACAAAAGTGCATTACATAAAAAATATGAGCAAACCAAACGGTAGTATATAAGAAATTACAGGGCATATAACTACTAGAGACTCTGGGATGATTTGCATTTAATCCTGCAGGTGCATTCCACACAGGCATGCTAAAAATTTTTAGTACCAGAGGACCGCTGAGTAATTCTGACAGCACAATGCAGGCTTATTCAGAAAAAGTCCCACTAAATTCATTAAGAATTAATTCCAAGGAAAAGTACACATAACAGCAGACTGGAATACAGATCTTCTATTTCATAATGTGACTGAACACATAATATACATACTAAACCCTGCAGAAAAGTAAATGAAATGAATTATTGACATTCAAAGGTCAGTAAAGGAAAAAATAAAGCCAAGAAGCTGCTGCTTTTAATCTGTGTGATACTAAGGCATCAGTTAAATCTAATTAAAATAAGAAACTCTTGCAGTTGCCCAGTGAAAAATGTTAAAAGTATTCAGTTATCCCAGGAATGTGATTCAAGAATAAACTTTGGAGACTGAGGAACCAGAGATGGGGTAAACAATGTAACAAGTGGTCCCATATTTTATAACATCTTTTGAAACAAAGTAGAAGCTAGGCAAGTTTACTCTGTTTGATTAGATTCGAGAGTGCATTCACTTCATCAAATTGTATCTCCAAAACAGTATAAACCAACTTGTGTCAACCTAATGCCTTCCACATGTATTGTGAGACTCCTATCATGTTCCACCACTGTCTATAATTTGGAAATTGCTGAGATAAAATATATACATACTGTATACTAAAACCCATCTCAATGGACTCAATATAAGCTAAGATAAAACCCATCTCAATGGACTCAATATAAACTAAGATTTCTTAGGCCATTATCAAATGTAAACTACTGGGTATTGCAGGCATTTCAGTTTGCCACACTGTTTTTGTTTAATTCTCGTTGTTTTCTCGTCTTTGCCACACTGTTTTTGTTTAATTCTCGTCGTCGTCTCGTCGTCTAGTCGTGTCTGACTCTTTGTGACCCCATGGACCAGAGCATGCAGGCCCTCCTATCTTCCACTGCCTCCCGTAGTTGTGTCAATTTCATGTTGGTTGCTTCGCAATTTCCAGCCTCTGCCTAAAATAAAAATTCTGCCTGAACAACTGCAATTATCTTTGGGTATGTAATTACCTGTAACACTTTTATCCCTTACATCCAAATCAACATGCACAGTTTCATCCTCGCCTTTCATCTTCCTGAGGTAAGTCAGGCTCTGGTACTCAGGGTACTCAACCCCAAACAGTGTGTGACACAACTTGGTGAGGTCCTATTCATCCTCGCCTTTCATCTTCCTGAGGTAGGTCAGGCTCAGGTACTCAACTCCAAACAGCGTGTGACACAACTTGGTGAGGTCCTGAACCCCTCTGGGTCTCCAAAGCTGCAATCCAGCAGTCCAACCACAACACCACCCTTACCAGTTACTTTTCCTTCCACACAGTGTTTTATTACAAAATAGCAGAAGTATGTACAGTGGTGCCTTGCTAGACAGTTACCCCGCATGACAGTTTTTTCACTAGACATTGACTTTTTGCGATCGCTATAGCGATTCGCAAAACAGTGATTCCTATGGGGGAATTTCACTGGACAATGTTTGGTCCCTGCTTCGCAAACCAATTTTTGCTAGATGACAATTTTGACAGCTCCCTCCGCACTCACAAAACGTGTTTTCGGGATCTAAGTTTCACAAGACAGCGATTTAAACAGTGGATCAGTGGTTCGCAAAGTGGCTTTCCTATGGCCGATCTTCGCTAGACAACGATGATTCTTCCCCATTGGAACGCATTGAACAGGTTTCAATGCGTTCCAATGGGGAAATGCTTTTCGCTAGACAATGATTTTGGTAATCAGCTATTTCAGTGAAACGGATTATCATCGTCTAGTGAGGCACCACTGTATGCTAATCTTTCAACCAGTAAAGATGTTTTACATCAATACTGTATTATGTAAATCACAATAGTATTGGGCTTAATAAATAAATGGACTCGATGATCCCTAGGGTCCCTTACAGCTCTGCAGTTCTAAGATGATGATGATGACTTTAACAAAACGATGATGACTGTGGGTCTCTTGAGCAGTTCTTTCCTGCCCTCAACATCCTCAGGATCAATACCTTGTTTTTTTTTTCAGCTGTAGGGAACCGTCCCGCCTCGCAGGGCAGAACTCACAGAAGTTACTCCCTGCCTCACAACTCCCAGCACCCCACGGCCACGCTAGCTGGGGGCTTTTGGGAAAACTCCCACACGACTCTTCCGGAAGCTTTGCCTCTGGGGTCCTCCCCCTCACGCCGACTTTTCCAAGCAAGCTTACTATTTGCCACGCTATTTACATACACTTGCAGGCAAGGTTTCCTGGCGACAAGCCTGGCAGATGGGGCTCTTCCAGAAATACCTTCCCTCCTGAATCTGTTTTCGCCCTGCCAAAGGCCGAGGCGCTGCACGTGGGCCCGCCTGATCGCTCCTGGTCACAAACCAGCCCCTGAATTATTTTTCATCGTGGCCCTTACCGCAGTGAGCACCCTGAAGTGGTCCCGGGAAAGGTATCGGAGCAAAACGACGTTCAGCTTCCCCATGGTTTCGTCCAGCGACACCCCCCTCCTTCAGTCTGAATGGAACGCTCCAGCAACACCGTACTCAGCAGCCCCCTTCCGCACGCAACTTTTTCCTTGCGTCTCCGGGTTTGTCCGGCCCGCATACGCGTTCTTCCGCAACTGGACTGCGCATGTGTGAAAAAGAGACGACTTCAACAGGGGCGGATTTACGTCCCCGGGCTGGTAGCGTGGCTTGTCTCAGGTCCTTTTAGCACAGTAAATACTAATGCGGTTACCTTTCTTCCATATTAGTATACTGTAGATTTCCTTCATATTCCTCAAGAAACACTATAAGAAAGTCACGTAACATTTGAATTTCCTACGAAAGCATTTGTTTTCTTCAGATATTCTGCGAGTGCTGTACATACCGGACAGGACCCGCTACCTAGGAAACGCGACGCGCAGGGGAAGGCGCCGAAAACAAGAGTCGGCACCGGGGGCTTCCCTTGAGCGTCATGAGCTTCGGCCGCGATCGTCCCGTCCCTCTGCCTCGGACGGCGGCCAAGGTAGAATTCGTGGCGACGCGGGCGGTGAGGTTCCGATGGCTGATGCGTAGAAGTGCGAAGAGTTCAGACCGGCGTTGGGCAACTATGGCTCGCTGGGTGGTTCTGTGTGCGTGTCGGTGGTGGTGAAGGGCTACGACTCCCATCATCCCTCACAAGCGGGCTAGAGCCTCTGTGGGGTTGATGCCCAAGAGGATCTGGAAAGTCACAGCTGCCCTCCCCCTGGTTTCGATGCGGTACCGAGTCGTTCCAAGACACACGATCCTGGGCAGCTTAATCTAAAATGCATCCGTTAGTCTGAAGGCGCGAAACATTAATTTTTTTAAAAAAATTTTAATTCTTTTTTTGTAACACATGGTGAAGCAGAGAAACGGGGCTGCATCTTGGAACGCTATTTCTAAGACGTGTATTTGAGAAGCGGACTCAAACCCGAATGAGCCAGCTTTTAAAATGCCTCCCTAGTTTGCCTCTTCTACTCTTCTCCCCCTTTCATTTTCCAGTCGGGTCTGTGAACATGGCCGTGATTCTGAGTTCTTTCTCTTTTGGTCTGGTGAAATCGAGGGTGTAACTGAGGCTTTGCCCTCCCCCACCTAAAATTAGAAAACTGGAGGTGANTCTGAAAACTGGACGTTAATCTGTAAGCCATATTTGCATACTCATTGGTTTATTTTTTTGCTTTAATTTATTTTTTTAAAATTATTTGTTATATTTCTATCCCACCCTTTTAGACAAAGTCTTCTCCGAGCGGGTTCCATCAAACATTATACACTAAAACAGTTAAAAA